ACCTTTGCGCAGCAGCCTGTGGACACGTCCGACAGGGAACTGCAGTCCGGCACGGGAAGAACGAGTCTTGGCCTTTGCTCTGGCCTTGCCGCCGGTTTTGCCTCTTCCGCTCATCTTGGTTCTTCTTTCTGGAGTGAAATCTCGAAGAAAAATGTGTGCTTGGGGGGTACAAGTCCTGCTTTAATAGCTGCAGAAAGCGCGGGAGGCTGGGGGTCAGACCAACCAGGGAAGAGATTTTCAGTGTGGTCAGGGACTTAGCATGCTGGGGTCCAGTTTGAACACAATCCCCCCAATTGGGGGCGAGCCTTGTGGCGGGAGGTCACTCTTGCAGGCGGGGCTGACCTCCAGCAATTGCGGCGGACCAATCAGCAAGCGCCAGTGTGAGGGAGCGTAGCTCAGGCACAGCCGGTGAAGCGCTTAAAAGCGACTCACGTATTCTTCCTTCTGTGGTCAGGGACTTAGCATGCTGGGGTCCAGTTTGAACACAATCCCCCCAATTGGGGGCGAGCCTTGTGGCGGGAGGTCACTCTTGCAGGCGGGGCTGACCTCCAGCAATTGCGGCGGACCAATCAGCAAGCGCCAGTGTGAGGGAGAGTAGCTCCTACACAGCCGATGAAGCGCTTAAAAGCGACTCACGTATTCTTCCTTCACTTCCCTCGAAAAAGAAGAGCTGAGCTGCACGATGGCTAGAACCAAGCAAACTGCTCGTAAATCCACCGGCGGCAAAGCCCCCAGGAAGCAGCTGGCCACCAAGGCCGCTCGCAAAAGTGCGCCGGGAAAAATTCCCCATATGGCGTCATAATAAGTATGCAATGACATTCCATAATGTAAGGGTACCGCTGTGTGGTAGTACCACCCAATGACAGCTGTGAGACAAGATATCTGAAATGTCAATTAACACTCCCATATTTTTTTTTTCTGGCGTACAGCCGACAAAGCGTTTCTCGCAAAGAAGGAAACGTACAAATTCCATCACTCGAAATGCACTCATCGTGTTATATAAGTATTTTCGATATGTCGTTTAGCTCCATTCAGATAAAATGTCTCTACCACAGAACCAAATTTTTCATCACTTAAAAAAAAATGGATTCATTGGTGGTTGACCGAAACAAAATCATGCACGGATTTTGCTGGCTCGGGCATAATAACAAATTACGATCAGATTGCTTCATTCATTCACCACTTTTTTGATCAAGACAGTGTTCTTATCGGGACTCGTGCAGCAAGTGCTGTGCCAGCGCCGCTCTCTGATTGGTTGAAAACACAAAAAAAAAGCGCCTCTGTTGGCCTGCTTCTGGACCTGAGAGAGGACAGTCAATGTAATTTGGCGATTGGCCGCCCTTCGCGGTGGAATGACCAAAGCGAAATTTGTCACTCCACTTGGTTGACTTGACTTGTGATCTTTCACTTATGATTACACAGAATCAGAGCCATTTTAATATGGTTACAAATGTCGGTATTTGCGCCATTGTAAGTAAATGTTTCTGTCACTCTTTCACTTAATTGCACTTCCTTACATTCATATATAAGGCACACAAACAAATGCGTGTCACAATTACATTTAATTTCTCACCAGATTTCGATCACCCATACACAGTATGTTAAAAGTTGTTGTGGTGCTGGCAGGGCAGTTAAAAAACAGTACAACCAACCAGTTTTGGAATAAAATGAAATACAGATAACGATGACCCGTCCATGTTAAAACGACATGATTTAAAAAAAAGGGTTAACCACTAAACATGAATAAGTATAACTAAAATACAAAACGGACACCCCTGTTACTTTTTTTTTTTACTCCGAATAATGTATAAGTCTGTTTTTCAAAAGTTACATGATGTTATGATGGCTTGTTATGAAGAACGGTTGTAAAGAACTCTAGTATGTATTTCCCCAAATCTCTGAACATGAATGTTACTTAGTCTCATTGAGTTGTAAAGAATACAGAGTGATTTATAATTCAGGAAGTATTTGACTTTGGACAGGACTGAAATGAGTATAGATAATTTAGTTTGCCTGTCTTTTATATGAGGTTTCCAGCAAATTCTGTCGTCACGAATTAGCCCCAGAAATTTGTTTTCATACAGCCTTTACACATTTACAACTAATTATGTTCTTTTCTAAAGCTTTGGACTAGATTAAAATAAAGTGTAAAAAAAGTGTAGACTATACAGACACTTTCATATCAATTGATAGGCGGCATATTTGAAAGTCAATCAAATGCATTGGCAGAAGCAAATTAGTATTGCACAAAGCCGTGAGCATAATGTCTCTTCATAACTTGCCTATGTTTTTATGTACTTGTATGAAACATATCATATTGCTATCTCCTCAAAGTTCTCTGGAATCTAAAGGGTAGTTCCTTTCTCAGAACGTTGGCATGAATGTTTCAGATAAGCCCCGGGGAAGGCAGTTTGAGTGAAGCCAAACCTCAACGACGATACTTTCTAATTATTTTGCACAATAGGGGTCCTCGTGTGTCCTAATATTTCTATTGCAGTACTATTACTCAAATAGGCTCCCTTTTACCAAAATAAGAGGGAAAAGTCAATATTGTGTCTTTTGCCAAATTGTTTTCAAGTCCGTCTACGTAATGACATAAAAGTCACATGCCAGAAGTGATGTAACAGTGAGAAACAAGTGGCCATCGTTGCAGTGAGGGAGCAGTCGTCACTGTCAATCAAGGTCTCTCAATCAACCATCACATACAAATGACATATCAGGAGTGATGTCACAGTGAGAAACATCTGGCCACGGTTGCAGTTCAAGAGGAGGGGTCCAATGCATAAAAGTCCACGGCGCAGCCGGGTTTTCACTTTGGTCATGATGGAGAAGCTCAGGATCTTGGCTGCGGTCACCGTGTTCCTGGAGACGGTGTCGGCCGTCTCTGTAAGTTGCAGTTTGTTTGGATCTTTAAACTTAGGGTCGAGTGTTTTCTTTTCTGTAGCACGTCAAGGTCTTGTGGTCGTGTGTTTCTGTAGCTGGGAGTGGTGAAGACCGAGGGTGGCATGGTCGAGGGAAAGAACATTCGTCTTGGCTTCCACCGTTCCATGGACATCTTCAAAGGGATTCCTTTTGCCGACGTACCTGAAACGTTTGAGAAACCGGAGCGTCATCCGGGTTGGGAAGGTGAGTCGACCGAACGTTGATTTGGAACGTTGGCTAATTAAAGCCACGAACCAAGACACACGGATCAGTATTGCGATGCCTGACACTACATTCATATTTTCATTTTTCAAGTGTCTTTGTGAACATTTGTGGATCGATGATGTTAGCCGGGTGAGCCGGGCTCACTGTTTCCAGTTCCTTGCACCTTATAACATTTTTAAAATTTTATTTTATTTTTTTTGTCCTCATTGTCCAAACATGAACGTCCCTTTCTTCAGGTGTTCTGAAGGCGACTGAATACAAGGAGATCTGTCTTCAGCTGAAACCATTATTGCCCGGCACCAGAGGAAGCGACGACTGTCTCTACCTCAACATCTGGGTTCCTCACGGCCGTACGGGTAAGAACTGATATGCGCGGTCAGAGCATCCATCCATTGTATGGTGCAAATCCCTGCTGACTCTGGGCAAGAAGTGGCGTGCAGCATCACTCGACCACAAGACACACATAGACAAAGAACCCTTCACACTATGGCCAATTTAAACTCTTCACGATGCATCCTTTTAGAATGTGGGAAGAAGAGAGACGTGTGCCGAGACTCGAAAAGTGTGAGGCCGATGTGCCGGCAACAATGTGCAATGGTACCACCCGCATTCTTCAGTTCGAATTATTTTTACTCCTCAAGTGTCTGCCGAGCTACCCGTCATGGTCTGGCTATTTGGAGGTGCCTTCCTGATTGGAGGATCGATGGGTACCAACATCTTGGACCTTGCTACGAAACTGTACGATGGGCAAGAGATTGCAGATCGAGGCAACGTCATCGTGGTGACACTGGGATACCGTGTGGGAACTCTGGGCTTCCTCAGCACCGGAGACTCACTTTTACCAGGTACTGTGTTCTTTTCAAATCATGTCGCGCAAACTCCAATTTCAAATTAGGCAGGGCATAGATCAGGGGTGTCAAACCAAACTCATTTTTGTCGCGGGCCACATTTTAGTTACCGTTTCCCTTGGAGGGCTGTTATGACTGAAACCATATGATAACGATTTATTCAACTTTCTGTAATGAGGGGTTTGATCACAAGAAAATGCTTACAATATGTCTCTAATTTATTCAATATGAGAATTTTAAATTATGGTAGAGATTTTAGCAAGCATCATGGAAGTGGACCTGTTTGATTTGCTTTCGCGGGCCACATAAAATGATGTGGAGGGCCAGATCTGGCCCCCGGGCCTTGAGTTTGACACCTGTGGCATAGATTGCGAAGGCTACGGGTCCTAATCAAAAAGCGGTGGTGCGTTGGTACATTTGTGCCTTGACAGGGAACTACGGTCTTTGGGATCAGCACGCCGCCATTGCCTGGGTCCACCGAAACATCCGCGCATTCGGAGGTGACCCGGATAACATCACGATCTTTGGAGAGTCTGCGGGTGGCGCTAGTGTCAACTTTCAGGTATAAGATAGCTGGGTCGTCTGACTTTCAATAAATAGTCATCGGGTCAATTCACGAACTCACTGTCAGACGTCCAATGAAAATGGCCTGCTCGGTGATCTTACGGCGGCATCGGTATGGCATTTCCACGGCCGCTTCAGGTTACACAGACGTATATTCCGTCACAGATTCTCAGTCCCTACAACAAGGGGCTCATCAGGAGAGCCATCTCTGAGAGTGGTGTCGCACTTTGTCCCTGGTCCATCATAAAGGACCCCCGTGCTTTCGCTGAAGAGGTACAAAATCGCTTTTGCTCCAAAATTAAACTTCTCGACTCTCAATTGATGCGAAATTGTAACTCGGGATTTTCCCCTCTCGGTTCAGGTTGCTCGGAAGGTCAACTGCCCCACCGATCATAAACAGTGAGAAACAAGTGGCCATCGTTGCAGTGAGGGAGCAGTCGTCACTGTCAATCAAGGTCTCTCAATCAACCATCACATACAAATGACATATCAGGAGTGATGTCACAGTGAGAAACATCTGGCCACGGTTGCAGTTCAAGAGGAGGGGTCCAATGCATAAAAGTCCACGGCGCAGCCGGGTTTTCACTTTGGTCATGATGGAGAAGCTCAGGATCTTGGCTGCGGTCACCGTGTTCCTGGAGACGGTGTCGGCCGTCTCTGTAAGTTGCAGTTTGTTTGGATCTTTAAACTTAGGGTCGAGGGTTTTCTTTTCTGT